TGTTTTCTATCTCCAGTTTTGTGTTTCCTATCTCTTTGTTGAAGTTCTCCCTGAGATCACTGAGCATCATTATAACCAATGTTTTGAACTGTGCATCTGGTAGACTGCTTGTCTCTGTTTAGTTCTTTTTCTGGAGCTTTATCCTGTTCTTTCATTTGGGACATGTTTCTTTTCCTTTTCCTTTTGGCTGTATCCCCATGTTTGTTTCTATGTATTGGGTAGAGCTGCTATGTTTCCTGGTCTTAGTAGAGTGGCCTTATGTAGTAGGTGTCCTGTGGGACCCAGTAGCACAGTCTCCCTGGTCACCTGGTCACCTGAGCCAGGTGCTCCAGGTGTGTACCTCCTTTTGTGAGTTGTGTGTGCCCTCCTCTTATAGTTGAGGCTTGGTTGTTGTTTGCATGTGAATGGGAGGGAATGACTCTCAGGCTGATAGGTTGTGAGGACTGGCCATGACTACAGGAGGAGCTGTTGTGCAGAGGTTGACCCTATGGGGCAGGATTCACTGTAACAGTGCCCTGGTGCCTATCCAGTGTACATGTGGGTATGGGGACCAGGCTGTTCGGAGTCTACGGCCCTCTTACCAGTCTTGATGTGGCTTCTTCTGTATATCTTTGTTTGTAGGACTGCTGTTCAACTAGACTTCAGGCAATTTTCAATGATGATTGTACTGCAGGTTAGTTGTAATTTTGATGTGGTTGTGAGAGGAAGCAAACACACTGTTTACTTTACCATCTTGACTGGAACTCTTAATATTAACCTTCTTATTTAATGTTTTTTTTTATTCTCTTCCTTTCTACCTGCTGATTTGTTACCATCCTGTGTAATATCCTTACTCCAAACTCCAATGCAGCTTTGTTACTGCCTCTGTTGTGTTGTTATTGTCAAGTATGTTATACTTCTGTATGTTATTACCCCCAATAATACAAGTATTTACATATTGTTTTAGGGAGACGCCTTTTAAATCAGTAAAAAAAAGAATGAATAAGTAAGTATACTGTCTTTGATTTGCTTATTTATTTATTTATTTGTTTATTTATTTCGTTTACTGGAGCTCTTGGAATTTTAATGTGGTTTGAATTACTTTCTGATGTCACTTAATGCTTACTTTCACACTGGATAACTTCCTTTAGTATTTATTTTAAAGCATGTTTACTAGTACTGAATTCTCTGTTTTCTTAATCTGGGGATGTCTTTAATTCACCTCAGTTTAGAAAGTTAGTTTTTCTGGCTTGTTTGACACTTTTTTACATTTAGCACTTTAAATACATCATGCCGTTGCCACCCAGCCTCCATTACTTCTTTTGAGAAGTGATCTTTTAGTCTTATTGGAGTTTTCTTATTTGTGATGAGTCATTTCATGATTTTCCATTTGTCTTTGGCATTCAACATTTCCAGTATCAAGTGTCTATTTGTGAATTTCTTTTTATTTTTGGTATGTGGAGTTTATTGAGTCCCAAGCTCATTGAATATGTTTCTTCCAGTTCCTGAAGGACCTCATTACTTCTTATTTTCTTACTAAGAACATCTGGCTCATCTACATTGTAGGTCCTACTGTTGAAGGCATTTTTTATTTGTAATAAAAGAGTGTTGATGTACACTGAGCGTGAACCACAGTTTTGAGTAAGTAGGTCCACATGACAGGTTAATAGATGATTTCCCTTTCTCAATATATGTGATTTCAATATTATCTCTATAAGCACTGAACTTACAATTTCTTGAAAGAATGTTGACTGTTAACCAATGATTGTGCAGCATCTCCAATATATGCTTTGATAGCACAATTGTACCTGCTGTGCTCTAATACATATAATCTATAGTTGGTTAAATAATGGCCACTCAAAGATTTCAAGTCCTAATCCCTGGAATTTGTAAATATTACCTAGTTTGGAAAAAGGGTCTTTGTAGATATAATTAAGTTGAGAATTTTGAGATGAGATTGCCCTGCATAATCTATTGGGTTGTCGGAAAAGTCATGACGTATTTTTTTCTGTTTTTGTTGCAAAAATGCATGATGACTTTTCCTACAACCCAATAGTTGAGTCTTAAACGCCATCATGTAAGATGGGTTCTTGTAAGAGTGAGACACAGAGGAGAGATTCCTCAAAGAGGAGAAGGCATTGTGATATAGCCTCGAGGCACAGAATGCTGGCAACTACCAGAGCTGGAAGAGGCAAAGAATGGATTCTTCCCTAGAGCTTCCAAAGGGAGTGCAGTTTGGCTAACATCTTTATTTTGGGACTCTGGCCTGCAGAACTATGACAGAATAAATTTCTCTTATTTTTAGTCACCCCTTTTGCGGTAATTGGTTACAGAAGCCACAGGGAATTAATATACATTGGTAGCAATGATTTGTTCTATACTTTTTTCTGTACTAGACTGTGAACTCCACAAAGACCTGGATTATCTGTCTCATTCACCTTGATAACTTCAACACTTAGCAGAGGGCTGGGTGATATTTGGTCTTTGTGGAATATTTGTTGAAGGAATGACTATAAGTGGGCTGTGATTCCTACATCACTCATAGTGTACTAACTATACAAAATTACTTTATTTCTGCTTGACCAGCAAAGGGACTGAGAGGAAACTAAAAATTTTATGACTAGGAGAAAAAAAGACAAAGTTTTGTGGGTGGTTTTTCTGCTGGGCAGAGTTAGAAATTGGATTTCCAGCCTAAGAAGTGTAGAGTTCCCTGAAGAGTAGCGACTAGGCCATGGTGGTGGGGGTGGGAATCTGAAATTGTGCTTCCCAAGAACTATCCTCTAAGCTACAACTTTCTAGGCTTTTACTGCCATGTCTCATGCAGCTTCTCTGCACTGACTACATAGTGGTCTGGCATCACAGGACAATGAGATTATCCATGCAACCCAGTTTAGATGAATGATAAAGGAGATAAGCAAGAAAGGTCTGAAACCTAATGAAAACCCATGTGCATCATAGATCATTTGTGCGACAGCACTTCACATTTAACAAAAGTGTAATGCCTGGCTATTTGGCCTTATATACAACTTCTTATAAATATAGTTACTTGAGTGTGCTGCTATAGGCACTGCTACTTCTGAGGTCTATTGTAAATCAGAAGAAAAAAAAAATCAAACTAACTAAATGCACCATGTGACTCCTTTTCAGGTTCCCAGTGAGCTGGGACTACTGCTGGGACGACTGTTCGGAGAGGCTCTTGCCATTTGACTCATTGATTGCATAATAATTTTGCTGAAATTAATCACCTCTTTGTGCTGTATGCCAGCATTAATGGCCATATCGTGTTACTTCAGGTTTTGGCTTAGGTTCCAAATAAGAACACTGTGTGTATGTGTGTTTGCAAGCAGGTAACTCATGCTGCAGCCATGTAACATTAAATTTCATTTTCATTCCAAACTTATTTCTTATTCTTTTCTATCATCTATGGGATCCTATGGCTTTTTGCTACACTTTCCACTGCCATGGGTTTTGCCCTGCTTAAATTACTACCCATGTCAAATTCTATTTCTTCAATGAAGCTGCCTCAGCAAGAGGTGACACCTTTATTCTCTGAACTCCTATTTCCTTATATTTTTATCACGATCATCAAAATGACAAGAGCCGTCATTTGTTAAAGTGTTCACTGTATCCCAAATATTGGGTTACATCTTTTACATATACAGAGGGTGCCAAAAAATGTATACACATTTTAAGAAAGGAAAAAACTGTGTTAAAATTGTAATAATATATACTGATAACAAAAGATGACTACAAGTCATGGGTATACTTTTTTTTGGCACCCTTGGTATTATTTTATTTAATTCTTACAATTCTGGTAAGTGGGCTTTATTATCTGTTTTCCAGTTCAGAAAACTGAAATTTGAGGAAACTGAAATTTAGAGAGGTATAAGTGATTTGCACAAAATATACAACTTCTGAGTAAAGGATTCAAAGTTCACACCTAGATAACCTCTAGAAACCACATTTTTCACCTTTAACACATGCTGTCCCTTAGCCTATTGCTGATAGCATAATAGATGCATTTTCTTTCCTAGATTATATAATGTTTAAGGATAGACAGTTCATTTTTTTTCTCTAATAACAACTTCCTGTACCCAGTGTCTCAATAAATATTGATTGGATGAATGAATCAATATTGAAAATGAGCTTCCCGTCTCTTCCTCTGCGCTGCCTACGGAGGTGGCGCTCATCTTTTACACAGTATCATGGCTGCCCTCAGACCACTCGTGAAGCCCAAGATCGTCAAAAAGAGGACCAAGAAGTTTATCCGGCACCAGTCAGACCGATATGTCAAAATTAAGCGTAACTGGCGGAAACCCAGAGGCATTGACAATAGGGTGCGCAGAAGATTCAAGGGCCAGATCTTGATGCCCAACATTGGTTATGGGAGTAACAAGAAAACAAAGCACATGCTGCCCAATGGCTTTCGGAAGTTCCTGGTCCACAATGTCAAGGAGCTTGAAGTGCTGCTGATGTGCAACAAATCTTACTGTGCTGAGATTGCTCACAATGTCTCCTCCAAGAACCGGAAAGCCATTGTGGAAAGAGCAGCCCAGCTGGCCATCAGAGTCACCAATCCCAATGCCAGGCTGCGCAGTGAAGAAAATGAATAGACAGCTTGTGTGCAAATTGTGTTTTAATAAAACCATAAAATTCTTCAAAAAAATATTGAAAATGAAATTATTGTAATGAAACTATTACTGGGTCTTAAATATACTTTAGAATCGTTCAAGGAAGTGATACTGAAGGCTACAAAGAAGTCATTCTATGACCTTAAGAAAGATGGTATTTAAGGATAAGCATGATTAACTATGCCGGATATCTTCTTTCATGTTTTTTAAAGTTCTATATGTAAATAATATATAAAATGATAAGATATTTATTCATGATCTTTTGAAATTTCCTATCTAGGTGATTTCGTTCAGTTTATGTAAATGTTTTTGTTTAATCAACTTTCTGTGTTAACTTTGTGTTAAATGCAGATTTTTAAAAATAAATCTTGTGCTTTTTTTTTTTTCCAGGATGGCATAGGGGTAGATGAGAAGCTGTCCTTACGGCGGGTAGCTGTGGTTGAAGATTTCTTTGACATTATCTATTCGATGCATGTGGAAACAGGGCCAAATGGAGAACAAATCCGTAAACATGCTGGACAAAAGAGAACTTACAAAGCAGTAAGTCAAACAAAAAATTAAAAAGAAAAACAAGGCATGCGTTTTGAAATTTGCTATTCTTAAGGCTTGTTAAAAAAAAGGTTAAATAATTATACAGATTTTATCTTCAACATAAATTAGACCCTATCATGGTCACACCCAACATTTAAACTATAATTTAATTATCATTGATTGTAATTTGGTGTATGTTCACTGAGTCTATTGTGTATAATTTAAACCTGTCTCTAGTATTCTTATATTGTTTTCTTTAAATATACATAAAATGTGGTAGTCCCAGTCAAATGCCCACAAGTGGGAAGATATATTTGTGTTATTTATTCACTGTATCATAATATATGAATTATGGACTGGAACATATGAACTACCACTACAGTCTTAACATCCCTTCACCTTCAAATCATATTACTGTGTTTAGGTATTTCCTATTTAATACCTATTTAATACTTATCACATGAATAAGAAAATTTTTATGTACTTTTTTAATGTCTCCTTATATATTAAATACATATTTCCCGAAGGATTTGCATTTCTTAATTTTCCAGAATAGATTATTAAAAGATATGTGTTATTTTCATAGATTTAATGCCCTTGAGCATTTTAAAATGATATATAATGTTTTTTATCATAAATTATGTGAAAAGAAGATTTAATTAACTTTTAGATGTTGAAATATATATATATTGTCAAAATGGAATTATATATTATTTCTAAAGTGTCTAATTATACTTACAGTTTGATCTAGACACTTTAATCTAGCTTTTTATTTAATTAAAAGTTTACGGAGTTATCTTAACATAGATATTTCATCCTTTCTAGGAAAATTGAACAGTAAATTATTCTTTTCCAATATGAGCAAAGTGTACATCAGAAGTACTTTATCAGCTCTCAGAATAATATCCTTTTTTAGAATTCTTATTTAACTTTGCTTTTGGCTGCCTTTATATTAACTGTTTTCAGCTATATTGATACACAATATCAGTCTGGATCCATTTTTTTTTCAGATACAGAAAAATGTGTGAAATGCTCAAAGTTTCAAATACAGGTACATATGTTTGAAAATTAGCTACTGAGCATAAGAAATAGCTTCTTTTCCATAACTATTTTTTGCTATATTTCCAGGGTCACATTGAATCTTTGTAGTTGCATAATAACCCCTAATACATGTTGTATTTATCTCTCCTTCTCTATGGTTTTGTTTCTTGGCTGTTTCCAAATTGCATGGTTTGTGGGCAGGCACTATTGTAAGTTTCCTTACATAATTCTGCCACATAAACTTTCTTTTGACTTACATATCTCAGGAGACATTCTTATCATGACTAATGACAACAACCTACCTTCTGTAGGATATTTTATGTAGACTAATATGACTGAACATACTCATTTCACCTGTCTCCTAAACCAGGGTTTTATCTCTGGATGGTAATAGGAAAAAAAATTGTATATTGATCTACTAATATCACTAACTGTGTACTCTTACGATAAATTATTTTCATGAAATAGCTACCTGAACTTGATAGGACTTAGTAAGGTAGAAATACATATGTTTAATTGTATTAAATGAAAAACAAACAAAAAAACAAGTGGCTTCATTGTCAGTAGTAGTGTGGCAGCCAAATCTGATTAGGTGCCAAAAGCAATTTAAAATGATTTAATCTTTCAAATGCACCTTTAACTAAAGTGATAACATAAGTCAATGACATAAACCCAAATCTCTCAGCCTTTGTTTTCTTAAATGTAGAGAATCTGATCCATTGCCATTTTGCATACTAAACACTTCCAATAAATTGGCAAACATGTGTCCAACATGTATCATTCCGCATTAACATGATGAGGACATTTTATGCATTTAGGGGTAAAGATATCAACCTTGAAAGTATAAGCAGCATTTGAAACCTCATCCATTCCCTCTTGAGAACATCCTATTTGAAGATCCTTTTCTTTCCCAAGTTTATGTTTTATTTTCACATCTTAAGTGTTTTCACCTTTTCCTGATACCATGAAGGTTCTTTCTGGCCTAACCTTTCGCTTTCTGGTACCTCTAAATTGAATCCTAATTAGGAAACATTTCGATTTTTATGGAGTAATAACTCATTATAGGAAAAAAATAGAAAAGAACGGCTGCAATACCAGCAACACTGTGCACTTGACTCTATAATGAACTTAAGTCTAATGTTAAAAATTAATATAAATGTTCAATTAATGGGGCATAAAACTAAATGCAATTTGAAATGAAATGGTTTTGTGCTATTAGTGCCCTAGAGACTGTTGGGTCAGAGTTTAGTTCTCAGTACTAATGCTGGCATTGGCTAGTCATTGGTAGAATTAGCTAGATACCTATTGCAATTCTAATGGTTCCATTACGGTTAAGTTTTTTTCTACTTCTAACACATTAGCTCATAGAGCATTGCATGATTATGTTTATTGACCTTCTTTTTCTTCCTTTTCCTACATGGCCAAGAAACCATACTTATATAACTAATCATGAAAACGTGTCATATTGTCTTAATAATATTATCAATAAATTTAGTGATCATTTTATTTACTTTGCCTTTTTTGCAAATCTTTCTATGTTTTCACTCTGCAGGAAATGGTGGTCTTTTAATATTGGATTAACTTTTGAATGCTATTTGTTTTTACCTATCTGCAGTATATCATTCCTTGAAATATCTAGGCATTATACAACTTAAATATTATTGCAAACTGATCTGACTGTAGACAGAATTGGAGGGTATATGTTCTATTATTACTCATGAGATTTTTGAAAAAATCCACATAAAATGACACATTTTAGAAATATGTAAAGCTTATCATAATTATTATTTTTAATCACTGTTGAATTCCAGTGTCTTTTAGGTCTTTATATTTTTCTGCATTTGTCTCTGTCTCCATATTAACTGTTATTGGTGCATTGAATGTGTTTCCTTCAATATATTTGACTACAGTAACCTCTTGATTATCTACATTAACAGAGTGGAGTAGAGGCATGAATCATTCAGTTATCACTTACATTTGAACTTAAATATATCTTTGTAGTGAAAATTGAATGCATATACTTAGCAATTTGGAGAGTCATTTCAAAATTAGTGATGCAATATTATAAAAACTAATGTGGAATGTTGCTTGTTCTTCCATTCCTTAACTCTTCTCAACTTCTGCCTGAACTTCACCTCAGGGAATGCATCACTCTTCTCTGGCTGTCTTTTTCCACTTGTATTCTATCACTGGTTAAGCACAGTTGCCTGTTCAGAATCCTTTCTTAAGTTATGGTCCCATTAAAGGATTAAGTTTCAAGGCTCTTTCTTGCTACGTGTGAAATTAGAGTAACTGGTGGAAATCCAGGAACTAACAGGGAAAGTTGGTTTTTCAATAGAGAACAGTCTGCATATACATACATACATACATACACACACACACACACACACACACACACCCCAAAAAAACAAACAAACTTGTGCTGTGATACAGTAAACTTACATGTATATCATACATAGCTGCCAATAATTACATTCACTTAATTCAGAGTGGATAGCATATGTTATAGCTAAAAGAAAATAGGCTAGAAGCCAGACAAACTCAGTTTCAGATTCCAAATCTAGCATTTCCAGTCTGTGTCACTTTGGCAAATTATTAATTTTTTTTCTCTTTCTGTTTAGAGGTAGATCATGATACACGTTTGGTAAAATAAGTGGGTTAAGATGCGTAAAGTGCTGGGCATAGAGTAAATTTTTGAATGTCATTTCTCTTTCTTTATCCAATCACTCTGCATGTTCTAGGTAGAATGACAAGCAGGACAATTAACACAGCTCTATCACTGCCCTAATTATACTATGGATATATTATGTTATAATTTCCTCTGCCCGCCCCATGCCGCTGTGTTGGGAGATAGGAATATTAATAATTTAGGCATTTTTGTGTGTATCCTATAGATGTCACTGTTCGTGGAAGTGTACAGTATAACTTTTATTCAAGGTTTGCTGGGCTGATGGAAAGTATGAAAGAGGGCTAGAATTCCTGTGTTTAAGAACTTTCCAACTAGATGAAGTTTATGAGAATTTCGATTATTTCATTTGCTTTTCCCAAAGGTTAATTCTGTTAAATTAAATTGAAATTGACTTTCTGAAAAATTTTAAAAACCTGGCTCTCTTTCAAGAATTTGCTTTCAGTGTTACTTGAGGATTTCTTTCCAGGGATATCTGTAGGAAAATAACATATCATGCAGAATTTCTACCTTCCTATTCTGAAAAGTAAAAAGGAAAAATCTTTATTCTACCAGATCTAGAACAATTAACCTTAAAACTTTAATGAGCATCATTTTGTCCTTAAAAAAAAAATACCTGTTGGTTCAGCCTCTCTACTGCTCAATAGCATATTTTAACTTGCACCAGTTTCTGCTAGTTTCTCATATAAAAAAAACCCAGAATGTTTGTCAATTCATAATGAGACTAATGAGCAAAATCTGTAGCCATTGTGGTGTGGAAAAATAGCACTAATTAAAATCCAGGAGTTCCAAACAATTAATTCAACCTCTTTTTGGCTTAGGCTACAGTTTAAGCACATATAAAACGAGGGGGCTATATTTCAGTTTTCTTTAAATGCTGAAGGAATAACACCAATTAATTTTATGTGTGTAAACCATCTTCTTTCACCTAATGTAAAGAAAAAAGCAAAATAATATAGCAAATAAACAAATATAGGACACTGCCTTTTTATTTCAGATAACATTGTTTATTTCATTTCATTATTATAAATGGCTTCAATAAACAACTGTTCATATATCAAATAGAGATAAAAACTTAAAATAATCCCAAATTTAATTTTTATAGACATTGTTTAATATTGATTTCTGATACTGTTATACAATAAGTCAGGTTTCACACAGGTGATTTCTAAATATTGAAGATATCTATTACATTTAAACATGGTACACATAATATTAAATCCACTTTAATGTTAGAACAGCCCACTGTTTCTGATAACTAAAAATAACATTCAGACTAATA